AGGGCAGGAGAGGGTGGGACAGGATGGGAGGAAGAGGGAGCCCGTTTAGTTGGAGGCCAAGAATACACAGTCTCCGATGAGTCCTCCAATCAGGTCAGGCCTCAGGGCGGAGGGTGGCCAGACTGTCACCTTCCTGTCCCTTGACCCAAGACCACCTGCACCTTTGTGGATGCCCCGCCACAGCTGCCGCCCCAGCTTGAGCTTGCCTTCCACTCAGACCCCCAGACTTTCTAAAGAGCAGCCACTATCTGACCATGCCTTCTTCTCTTTGTATTACTGAAGCTGGTGGTGGCTTTCCTTTATCTGTGCTCTTTCACAGATATGCTCCATTGACTTCCTCAGCTCATCACGAGATCCTCCTGTGGCCATGGGGAGCCCTGGGGTAGAGGCCCTGAACTGTATCCTGGCATCTGCTCTTTTAAAGCCTGGCCTGAACCACACTGGGCAATGCTGGGCTTTCCCACCTTGTGAAAGAGGCTTAGTCATCATCCCAGCTAGGAACAGCATGAGCATGTCCTTTCTAAAGGCCACAGTCAGTCAGAGACGCTCATTTATGGACCAAAGCTAGGGAATAGATGGTGTTTTTGTGGAGAGACTTCATTGTTGGATCTTGCTAGCCGGACATTGAAGAATCATTACCTGTCCATTGTCAGTGAAGAACACGAGAGCCCTTTTCTGTTCTTATCTGGAGGAAGGTCACCAGGCCTGGTCAGGCTGGAAGGAGAGCCGGCTTCATCTGCAGATTCCCTAAATATTCTTAGTACAGCTCTCACTGCTTCCAATTCTTCATTAGCCCATTAATACTGGAATATTATGAATTATGGAAGCGCTCTTGAGCTGTTTATGTTTTTAAAATTAGATCAACATCATCCTTAGTTTTCATTTGACCCTAACCCTATTATTTTCAGAAAATAAACAATCAAATTACCTGTGGTGCACCAAGAAATAAAACACCCCCCTTCTGCTGACTCTCTCCATACTGGTGCAGTTCCAAACACCACGTACTGTTTCTCTCTGTCCGTAAAGCAGATGTGGCCTAATTGACTCTTTTGTGTTGTCTTGAACTGTACAAATAGCTCGCAGTTACCGAGCAACCTTTCTGAGTGGCTACCGAGTGGGAGGGGGACATACGGGGACTTCACTCTCTGGAATGTTTGAGGAGGGATCAAGGATGAAATGTCAGGGGAGCAGGGGGTCACAAAGACAGTGGCAGCTCAGATCCGGGGCTGTTGACTGATGGTCGGGGGTGGGGGCCGTTGGCAAACCTTAGCTTGGCAGGTGAGAGTGACCAGAGTGGCTCGTGACAGTCTGCCTAGGACCAGAAGAAATCGGGGCCGTTAGCTGGGGCTTTCCGAAGTGATGCGCACGGACCCCACGTCCTCCCAGCAGCCGCAAATGCCCTCTGAGCCACCTGCGTGGGATCAGGGCCACGGCTTAGGCTTGGGCCTGGTGGGGAAGGTGAAGCCCCCTGCCACCTGGCCCTGCCAGGCGGGGTATCTGGGAGAGCGGCACACTCTCCCAGCCCCAGTGGGAGCTTGGATGTCATCCATCCATCCGTTAGCTGAGTAGGCCTTCCCAGTGCGATGGCTCTGACAACTGGTCATCCGCTCTCCACCTGAGACTCCAAGGGTCAGGGAACCCTTCCCTCCACCTTCCCTCCACTAGCAGCCCACGCGCAGCTCTCATCGTTGGGCTGGCCTTACAGCTGCCACCCAGCGTTCCTGGTTCTGCCTCCACATCCTTTGAGGTTGGGGTGGAATTTGCCGCAAGCCTTCTGTCCTCCAGGAGATAAAAGGATAGACAGAAATTTAGAGTCCAAAGAGGGGGTAGGAAACATGCACAGTTATGATAGTAGCAATAATAGCTAACATGCCGATAGGGCTTTCGGATAGGAAAAGCCCTTTACGATATGATCTCACTTGACCTTCACCTCAACCCCATTTTACAGAGAGGAGGTGAAGTGACTTAGCCAGGGTCACACAGCTAGGCAGTGTCTGAGGCCGGGTTTGAAGGCAGGTCATCCTGGGCTGGACCCAGGTAAGGTGTCTCTCCTCTGCCGTGCTGGGTGGGTGCCTTATACGTGTGTATTTCACTGGCATGCTCACTCACATCCCTGTGAAGAGAGTCATGTGTAGGTATTCCTCATTCCACCTTGACAGATGAGGGAGCTGTGTCCCCGAGTTACCCAGCTGGCTTCAGGTCTAGGCTTCATCTGATTACGTGGCCCTGCACATGAGCCGGGGGAGAGCAAAGCTCTCTGAGCCTCATCCAGGAGAGACCCTACCGAGTTAGGTCTCAGAGGACGGGTGGGCTGGTGGTAGAGATGGAGGCTCTGTCAGACGTAGGGAAGGGCAGGAGAGGGTGGGACAGGATGGGAGGAAGAGGGAGCCCGTTTGGCTGGAGGCCAAGAATACACAAAGGCAGTGGGGGGGGGGGGGGGCGCTCCCCGCGGGTAGCAATTCAGGTGTGGAGCCTCCGAGTAGCGAGTAGCGTTATCACGGCGGCTCCTTAGGATGATGACTGCGACAGCAGGGGACTGAGTGAGGACACTGTGCAGCGAGTGCCAATTCCAGAGCAGGAGAGCCGGCGGCGTTGTGGCCATCATGGACACTCGTGGAAGGAAGGCCGCGGCTGCCCCTGACCCCAGAGCCGTGGGGTCGCTAAGCGTGTCCTCTCTGCTTCTTTCCTGCAGGTACTTTGAAGACCCTGCCGAGATGAGGAGCAGCCCCGTGGCTAAATGGGACGACGGCTCAGACGCCTTTTGGAGAAACGAGCCCATCAGAGAGACAGAAACCATCCTAAGCTCGAAGGGGACGAGCTACGCCGACAGGTATGCCCTGCGAATCTAGGCCCCGCCTGAGACCAGAGACACCGGGGGTGGGGGGTGCCCGGGGCGGTTCTGCAGCTCCCCAGCCCTTCTCATCCCCACCCTCATGACCAGCTGCTGCCTGTGTAAGGCTTTTTCCTTTACAGTCTTTTAATGGGCTTCTCACAGCAACCCAGGTAGGGAGGACAAATAGCACCCACAGTTTATGGATGACGAGGTTCCAATGGAAGTGACCTGTCCAAGACCTCACAGCCGCCCAGCTGCCTCCATCAGCACCAGCTTGACTTCATATCAGATCAGCTCTGGGGCAGTCAATCCCGTGGGGAGAAGGGGCTGTCCTTTGCCAGGCTGCTGTAGTCCTCCCGTGCCAAGCGTAGTTCAGGATAGCACGGGGGCCGCGGTAAAACCCACAGTACTCCTGAGTGTGGCCCCAACCAGATTCTAGGGTGTAGACGTATTCACAGGAAAAGCGTGATCTAATCACGTGCCTTTCCAGGTCAGTCTGTGTGTGGCCCGCAGAGATCCTTCTGCACGGCTCAGCGGCTCCCATTTTGATGTGGGTTTGACAGCCCTGCTTGAACTATCTTCTCGATCAGGTCATCACAGGAAGGCTGATGCGGCCAACCTTCTGCCATCCGTGCCACCGTAACGCTTTCCCGTCCTCTTGGGTTGTGAATTTTCTACTAGGATTTGCCATGCCCAGTCCTGTGCTCAGAAGGCCGGGAACCAAAAGCTAGCCACCAGGGCAGAAGGTGGATGTTGATGGGGCTTTGGTGGCACTAGTCCCACCCCAGGTCTCCAGAGCCCTTGGCGGCTTCCTGGGTCATGAGGCTGGGATCCGAAGGGGCCTCGCAGGTCCTCTCATCCACACTACTTAGTGGGTGAGCAGGCTGAGACCCAGAGACCTCAGGTTGCTCCCTAGGGTAGCACAGGCAGCAGCTGGCCAAGCCCACTGTGGGACCCTCGTCCTTTAACTCCTGACCTGGCGGCCTTTCACCTTCACAACAGTACAGCTCGCCTTTCCTCCCATTCTGGGTCCAGCTCCATGCCCACCTGTCCTGGCACGCTCTCCCAGAAAGCCAGCTGGTTCTTCAGCCCTCCTGTCTGGCACACTCAGTGTGAACAGTTTTTCATCCTCATCTGTGCCCTTTCCATCTCCTGCCCTCATTTTTAGGGCTTCCTTGGGTACCATCTCCTCTAGGAAGCCTTCCCATGCTGCCTCCAGCTCCTTTACAAGCCTTAGGCTTGGAGGCTCCTCTGATGGACAGAGGAGAGTGTGTGCAGGCCCTTCCCATCAGTGCCAGAAAGGGGGTCTGGCCAAGGTGGTCAAGATGTTCATGAGGACTGAGCAGACCCATGGGACTTGGGGTTCTTGGGTCTTCCTAAAATAACAGCCACACGTCTAATGTGTGGTTTTTTGAAACTTTCACACCTGGCAAGCTTACCTGGGCCAGACCTGTAACAGCTGTTGGCCTCAGGGTATATGCAGTGACCCTCAAGATGAAGGAAAGTCAGGGAAGCTGGGGGACAAAGTAGAGGAAGTTGAGGACTTTTCCTCATTTCCCAAAATTGCTGCATGTAACCTCAGCATCTTTGGGACTGAGCCAGAAGGGCCCGGCCTCCTGGCCCTGCAGGCCACAGGTCTGGGAGTCACCATAGTCCTCCTAAAGGGGGGCTTTCCATCTCATGTCCCTTTTGTCGTTCCTGTTTTCTTGGGGCCTCTTGGGAAATGACTGATAGAGAAATGCATCACCTCTGCCCAACAGTGAAAAGAGAAAAACAGTTTAGCAAAACCAGTCTCTAGAACAGCCCTGCCTGAGAATGTGTGCAGTATTCCTCCCTGTTGTCTCTCACCTGTCTCTGGACATTTAGCACCTGGGACGCTGGCCTAAGATGGGTCAATGCCACGCCTTCACCAGCAGCGGCTCTTTCATCCCCACTGTTGGAGTCAGTGTGGATACTTTTTGTCGTCTTGGTTCTCTTCGGGGCAGCTAGGGAACACGACCTAGAGTCAGGAAGGCTCTGAGTTCAAATCTGGCTCAGATACTAGCCAGGTGACCTTGGACCAGTCACTTAAAATGGGGATGATAATAGCACCTCCCTCCCAGAGCTTTTGTGAGGATCAAATGAGATAATATTTGTGAAGGGCTTTGAACAGTGCCTAGAACAGAGTAGGGACTGTGTAAATGCCAGCCCTTGTTAGCAGCAGTAACAGCAGCATCGTTACTGTCATTTTTCTCTCTCCATCCATCAGCCGGGTCATCCAGGCTTTCCCCGGTGTCTCTGAATTCCTTACAGTTCGGTGCTCTAATGCTCCTTTGTATTCACATAGCACAGTCTGTCCATCTGTCCTCTGCCCAGCTCACTCACGGGCAGCCCCTGGACTTCCTCAGCTTAGCTCCCAGCAGGAGGGCAGCTTTGGTGGAAAGAGAGGGGACCTTGAAAGCAGCGCTGTCGGGGTGGCACAATGCGGGCAGCCAAGGAGGCCACGTCTCTGGCCCTGCCTCCCCCTCCCGTTGGGCGCTTTGTGCTCACTGCCTGAATGGAGGGGCTGAATTTCACCCCACAGCAGAGGAGCCGTGAAGCGGAAGGCCGACTGTAGGGAGCAGCCAGGGGGCCTTGTGTTCTGTGCCTGGGAATTGGATTTCGTTGAGGAGATTTTGGTTTTGAGGTGTTGGTGCTTAAAATGACTGTTCTTGTTTTCCACTCTTCAAATGCAAATGCAAGTTTCCTTACTATCTATGAGAATAACATTTGCCTCACCTTCAATTAAGTAAGTTTTTGCTGTAATTGATCTTGAAGCCAATTTAATTTTAAATGCAGGCCAACTTCACGTCGCAAGCCTGATTATGAGCCAGCTGGAAATACAGATGAGGCACAAAAAAAATTTGGCAACGTCAAAGCCATTTCGTCGGACATGTATTTTGGAAGACAAGACCAGGCTGATGTAAGTATTCTGATAGTTTCTGTGGCAGGCGGGAAGGCACAGAGGGGAACTCTGCTGCTGAAAGATGCAGGGCCCCAGGTCTTACTTGGGGTCCACGTAGTCCCCAAGGCCTCCTCCAGCCATCCCAGTCCTGAGCCCTCCCATCCTGGTGCTCCCACCACACTCAGGGACCTTGGGGTTCTGCTCAGACATTCATCACTTGGATTGTCCTCTTACTGCGTCTCTCTAGACTGTGGTTTCTGGAGGCCAAGGCTGGGACCACACCTTACCTTTTCTTCGGTCTCTTGTGGTGCCCAGGCGTGTGCCGTGCTCCATAGTGGACCAGGTAGCCCTGGCCTTGGCTCTGATTGGGAAACCAAGCCGGGGTGAAACAAAGCTGTGTGTGAGACAGTGTCTTGGAGCAGGACGGACCCTAAGCCGGACTCACACTAGTGCAGGCTCTGGGATCTGAGTGCGAGGTGTGACCCCGGGGGTTCAGAAGAGGAGAGCCTGTGGGCAGGCTGTCTGGGGAAGGCCACGGACCCCTTCTGAGAATCACATTTTCAGATGCATGCAACAAAGTACAGCCTCACAAAGGAAACCAATTATGTTGAACTACAGTTAATAAAATAGGTCTGTTTTTAAAGGTCAAGCTCACAGACCCTGATCTAAACCAACCCCACATTTTACAAAGGAGGCAGGCCGGAGCTCTGAGTCAGCACTAAGTGACCCCTGGGGCCCTTCTGGCTCCGAGGTCCTACTGTTGTCATGCCAAATGAGACCATGGAGACTATGAGCGTAATTCCATTCAGTAAATGTTTCTTTTTTTTATTAATATTTTATTTTTCCCCAATTACATGTAAAAACAATTTTTAACATTCTTTTTAAAAATTTTTGAGTTCCGAATTCTCCTTCCTGCCCCCCCTTTGAGAAGGCAAGCAACTTGAACATATTTCCTTGTTAGTCATGTTGTGAAATAAAACACAGACAAAAAAATATAAGAAAAACAAAGAAAACATGAAAAAGTCTGCTTCGATCTGCATTCAGACTCCATCAGTTCTTTCTTTGGAGGCGGACAGCATTTTTCATCCCTAGTCCTTTTGTCTTGGATCATTGTATTGCTGAGAATATCTAAGTCATTCACAGTTGATCATCATACAGTATTGCTGTGAGGGTATAAAATGATCTCCTGGTTCTGCTCACTTCACTTTGCATCAGTTCATGTAAGTCTTTACGGGTTTTTCTGAGAGCATTCTGCTCATCATTTCTTATAATACAAAAATATTCCGTCTCAATCTTATACCACAGTTTGTTCAGCTATTCCCCAATTGATGGGCATCCCCTCAATTTCCAATTCTTTCCTACCACCAAAGGAGCTGCTATAAATATTTTTGTATATATAGGTTCTTTTTCTTTCTGTTTTTTATCTCTTTGGGATGTAGACCTGGAAGTGGTATTGCTTGGTCAAAGGCCATGCAGAGTGTTATACCCTTTGGGCATAGTTCCAAATTGCTCTGCAAAATGGTGGAATCAGCATACCACTTTACCAACAGTGCATTTAGTGTCTCAGTTTTCCCACATCACCTCCAACGTTTGTTGTTTTCCTTTTCTGTAATATTAGCCAGTCTGATAGGTGTGAGATGATACCTTAGAGTTGTTTTAATTTGCATATCTCTAGTCAATTATGATTTAGAACATTTTATCATGTTATTATAGATAGCTTTGATTACCTCCTTTGAAAACTGCTTATTCATATCCTTTTACTATTTATCAATGGAGGAGTGGCTCTTATTTCTGTAAATTTGACTCAGTTCTCTGTATATTTAATAGATAAGGTTTTTATCAGAAAAACCTGCTGTAAAATTTTTCACAGTAATGATTACCAGCTATGTATTTCCTTCCATCCTATTTTCCCTATTTATCCTACTCTCTCCTTTCACCCTGTCCATTCTCAGAAGTGTCTTTCTTCTCACTTTTACCTCCCCCAGTCTGCCCTCTTTTTTATCAGCACCCCCTTTCTCTTACTTCCTTCCCCTCCTCCTTTCCTGTATGGTAAGATAGATTTCTGCACCTAGCTGAGTGTGTGTGCTGTTCCCTCTTTGAGCCAGTTCTGATAAGAGTAAGGTTCACTTGCTCCCCTCTGCCTCTCCCTTCTTCCCCTCCACTATAAAAAGCTTTCTTCCCTTTCTTAGGTCAGATAATTCATCCTCTCCCTCTCCCTTTCCCCTTCTCCCAGTGCATTCTTCTTTCTCACCTCTCAATTTGATTTTTTTAGATAATCATCCCATCATACTCAACTCACACCTGTGCCCTCTGACTATGTATACTCCTTCTAACTGCCCTAATAATGAGAAAGTTTTTAGGAATTACAAGTGTGATTTTCCCATGTAGGAATGTAAACAGTTTAACCTTATAATCCCTTATGATTTCTCTTTCCTGTTTACCTTTTTATGCTTCTCTTGAGTCTTGCATTTGAAAGTCAGATTTTCTATTTAACTCTGGTCTTTCCATCAGAAATGCTTAAAAGTCCTCTGTTTCATTGAATATCCATTTTTTTCCCCTGAAGGATTATGCTCACTTTTGCTGGGTAGGTGATTCTTGGTTGTAATCCTAGCTTCTTTGCCCTCTGGAATATCATTCTAAGCCCTCTAGACTTTTTTTTTTTAATCATGGCTTTCAGGTAGTCCAATAATTCTTAAATTATCTCTCCTGGATCTATTTTCCAGATCAGTTGTTTTTCCAATGAGATTTCACAATTTCTTCTATTGTTTCATTCTTTTGATTTTGTTTTATTGTTTCTTGATGTGTCTCATAAAATCATTCACTTTCACTTGCCCAATTCTACTTTTTAAGGAGTTCTTTTCTTCAGTGAGCTCTTTTTGTGCCTTCTTTTCCATTTGACTAATATGCTTTCTGAGGAGTTCCTGTCAATGAATTTTTGTATGTCTCTCTATTTGGTCAATTCTGCTTTTCAAGCCATTCTTCTCTTCACTGGATTTTTGTGCCTCTTTTTCAGTAAATATTTCTTAAGGACCTATCAATATAAGAAGAGAGCTGGGGGAGGGATGACATCGCCCTTTCTGCTTATTTCCTTTGGAAGGTCAGCGGCTTCTCGAGGGATGGATGGAAGCTTCAAAAAACACCTTTGTCGTCTCCTCCACCCAAAAGGGGCATTTTCCTTGTTCCAAATTCTCTCCCCTCCGCCACTGAAAAGGCAAGAAAAACAAAACCTTTTACAAATCTGTCTGGTCATGCAAAACACATTTCTCCATTAGCCACATCAAAATAAGAAAGAAGAAAATATGCTTCGGTCTGCCCTCTGAGTCCATCAGTTAGCTGTCTGTTTAGAGGCAGGGAGCACACTTCCTCATGGGTCCTTTGGGCTGGGCTTGGATCATTGTGTTCACCAGAGCAGCGAAGTCTTTCACAGGTGATCATCATACAGCGTGGCTGTTAGCGTGCACAACGTTCTCCTGGTCTGGCTCACTTCACTTTGCATCAGTTCATATGAGTCATCTCAGGTTTTTCTGAAACATGCCCCTCGTCATTTCTTATAGCACCAATAGTGTTACATCACAATCATAAAACACAGCTTGTTCCCCAGTTGATGGGCATGCCTTCAGTTTCCAGTTCTTTGCCCCCACAGAAAGAGCTGCTAAAATATTTTTGTACAGATAGGTCCTTTTTCTTTTTCTTTGATCTCTTTAGGATACAGACCTATCAGTGGTATTGCTGGGTCAAAGGGTATGCAGAGCTTTTAACCCTTTGAACATAGTTCCACATTGTTCTCCAGAATGGTTGGACCAGTTCACAACTCCACCAACAATGCATTAGTGTGCCTATTTTCCCCACATCTCCAGCATTTGTCTTTTTAATTTTTTGTCAGTTTAGCCAATCTGATACATGTGAGGTGGAACCTCATAGTTATTTTAATTTATATTTCTCTAATTATTAGTGATGTAGAACATTTTTCATATGGCTATTAATAGCTTTGATTTCTTCCACTAAAAACTGTTTCTTCGTATCCTTTGACTATTTTTCAATTGAGGAATGGTTCTTATTTTTGTAAGTTTGGCTCTGTTCCCTATATATCTTAGAAACGAGAGGTTTTTCAGAGAGACTAGCTGCAGAGATCCCCCCCACCCAGTTTCCTGCTTTTCTTCTCATTTAAGTTGCATTGAGTTTGTTAATATAAAAACTAAATTTTTTTTTATAATCAGAATTATCCATCTTATCTCCTGGGCATCTCTCTATCTGGTTTGTTCTCTCCTCCACATGCTCCTAGTCAACATCTGACGAACCTTTTAGACGTTGGCTGTTTCTGTGCCCGTCTGTGACTTCATTGTCGCGGGGGATTCCAGGTGTACAGTTCTTTCTGTGTCTTCCCCAGACGCCTGGGGCAGCGAGGATTTGTTAAGTGCCTGCCATGTGCCAGGTGCTGTGGATAGCCTTGCCCAGGGGCACGCGGCCAGGCTCGTCAGAGGCAGGACATGAAGCCGAGTCTGCCCGGCCCTGGGGCCAGCTCTCACCTGGCTGCTCAGTTCTTCTGTCTCACAAAAGAAGCGTCCAGAGGCACAGGTGGGCCCTGCGGCCCTGCGTTTAACCTGGTAAAGTGGGCATGAGGAATCTTCCCGGAACGTCGGCCCCTGACCTGCCGTGTTTTCTCGTTCTAGTATGAGGCAAGGGCTCGGCTGGAGAGGCTGTCTGGAACCTCCTCCATAAGTTCGGCTGACTTGTTTGACGATCAGAGGAAGCAGTCCTCAGGTAAGGCCGGGCAGCTGGGCTGGGAAGGCAGGTGAGAGCAGGCAGGGGCCGCCCGCCCAAAGACGCCCTCCGGGTCTGTGCGTCCTGGGGCTCCTCGGGTTGGGCACGGGTGCTCCGTGTGCCCAGACCCCAGCCCATTTCCATGGAGTCCAAGGCAATGTGGGACTGAGAGATGTCAGGCAGCTGTCCACGATCACCCTTTCTGACATGAAAGGGATCCTCCCGGCCACAGTCACGGCTGGCTTGACTTAGAGTCAGAGAGGGTAAGCTCGAAGTAGTGAGTCATCTGTCACCATGCATGTCCTCCCTGCTGCCTGACCCATCCTTGCCTCAGGAAGCTTATAGTCTAACAGAGGAGACAGTGTGTTGTGGATAAAGACAGAGCACGATGTCAGTACAAGGGAATGTGGGGAGTGAGGACCTCAGGAACCAGGTGTCAGGAAGGGCTGCTCGAAGTGTGTTTTGCAGGAAGTAGGCGATTCTGAGATCAGCGAGGTCTGGGGGGCAGGAGATGGAGAAGAGCCGAATTTGGCTGGGCTGGAGAGCGCGTGTATGGGGAGGGAAGTATTGTCTAATAAAGTAGGAAGGGCCCATGTGAGCCAGCTTGGGAAGGACTGGAGAAGCTGGACGGAGAAGGCCGTGAGGCCATGATCGCCCTCGAGTTAAGAGGAGACCTCGGCGTTTAGCAGACTGGAGAGTGATGTGGTCAGCCCTGTGCCTTGGGGAAATCACTTGGGGAGCCATGGAAAAGCCACATGGGAGAAGGAAGAGGCCTGGGCCACGTGACGAAAGAGAAGGGACCGAGCCAGGAGAGGCGCGCTGTGGAGACTCGGCAATTGGATGTGAGGGATGAGGAAGGGATACCCCCATTGCCCTCGACAGAAATGGGGACCTCTGGGAGAGGAGTGGACTGGGGGTCTGCAGAGGCCACTGGGTTTGTGGATCCTGAGGTGCCTGGAGAGAAGCCAGATTACAGAGGCCTGAGGGAGACCAAGTGCAGGCAGCCAGTGTAGACAGCCTTTTCTAAGGATTTGGCTCAGAAAGGGAGGAGATGAGTGGGAAACAATAGCACAAGGGCCTGGCGGGCCTTTAGTGACTTTGCCTGGCGTTCTTTCAGCTCCGTTCTGGTCTTACCAGCAGGGTCAAAATAACTGAAAACAGGCCATTGTAAGTAGAATCATTCAGCCCCCCTGTGGCTTCTTAGGAACCTTGTGTCCTGTCCACCCCTGGCCCAGGCTCACGGAGCCTGTCCGCGTGTACAGGCCTCAGGGGCCAGGGTGTCCCGGCCTTTCTGGAATCTTCCCTCAGCAAAAGGTGCGGGAGCCTGTCTTTCTCCAGCCTCTGCACCTTCATTCCTGGAGAAGTCCTTCTGACCCTCCGGCTGTGGCCCTGGATCCCTGGGAGGGCCCGCAAAGATTTCTCCTCTGGGTGTCAGGCTACAGGAACTTCGTAGTCTCCTGACTCATCTCCTGGGGAAGAGCCATCCCTCTGCCTCGTTCAGCTCTCTCCCCTCTGACCTATAATCTGTGTTCTCGTCACTTTGCCTTTTGTCACAGGGGTCCTGTCTGTACTGATGGAGTAGGCTTCCCTGCCCTAGGTCCTGGCCTCTCTCAGGACCCCATCTTCTCAGAGCAAGGAGCTTTCTTGGAGGCCCCCAGACAATACAAGGCCAGGGTAGGCTCTTCTGTCCGGCAGATACTGGTTTCTGGGACCACCCGCCCCCCAGCTGTCAGGCCACAAAGAGCTTCTGTCCCTCCCTGCTGCCCTGAGGAGCAGCTGGCTGAGATCCAGGGTCACAGTAGGAGAAAAGTACTTGGGACGTGCACATTAGGGGCGTTCTCTCCAGTAAGGGTCAGGTCTGGAGCCTTAGCCTTCAGATGCCTCGCCAACTTCAGTGCTTTGAAGTCAGACTTGAAGGAGAAGGAAGGGACAGAAAGGAAGGGGCTGCCCATGTATGTGGAGCCAGCTGGCACCCAGACCTCTGCTCAGGAGGAAGGAGGTGGGGTTGTTTGTATGAGGCAGGACAAGAAGTCTGGGTGACTGACGACTGACCGTTCACTGGCTCTGAAGCTGGGCTCTTTTAAGAACACCACCCCTGTGTCCCCACCTCTCAAGAGGGAGGGGTGCCTGTGGTTTTGCCCCACCCCCTGCAGAGGGCCAGTCCCTCGCCGAGCCAGATGGACTTGGCCTCCTTCTAGCTGCAGCCTGGCCCCAGCCTCTCGTTAGCCCAGCACAAGCTTCCTGGACGGTGTGTGGGGCATGACCGTGGGCCTGGGGAACGGGAGGCAGGAGGGTCACCCCTCATACTGGTGCATCTTTTTCTAATGTCCCTGGGGGCATCTCGGCCTCGGGCACAGAGAACCAGCCTGAGACTAGCTCGCCGTCCCTCCTCAGACAGGAGCCTCCTCTGTCCCCGGGCTCAGGGCCAGCCAGAACCTCAGCCACCTGGCTTACACAGTGGAGACCCTAAGAGTGCACATCTCACCTGGTTGGTGGCGGTTTTTATCACTGTTTTCACAGAACACCGTGCTGCTTATCGGGCAGTCTCCTTGAGAAGAGGGGCCTGGGGCAGGCCAGCGTAGCTTCTGAAGTATTGTGTTGACCACTTAAAATGAGGCTGCCCACACCACAGCTTGGCCCCCCAGATCCCCTTCGTATTGCTGTCCGGGGTGGCTCTTCAGGAGCAGAGGCCTGGGGCAGCTAGGTGGCGCAGTGGATAGAGCACCAGCCCTGAAGTCAGGAGGACCTGCGTTCAAATCCAGCCTCAGACCAAACACTCACTAGCTGTGTGACCCTGGGCAAGTCACTTAACCCCAATTGCCTTTAAAAAAAAAAAAAGGAGCAGAGGCCCCCTGGGAGCTGTCGTGAGGCTAAGCTGGGGCACCACCACCACCCCTCGTCTCCCCCAAAGGAGGTCCCTTAGCGGCCCGCAGAGGCCCCGGTCTGGAGCAGGCCGTGACTGCAGTGGCTTTTGGTGCAACTGCGTCCATCAACACAGGAGAAGCCTAGGGTGTCTGGGAAAGAGAGGGTGGAGTCCGGAGCCCCGGCCTCCAGTCCTTATGGGGGGCAACACCCCCATCTCGTCTGTGACAGACAGATACAGCACCTGCCTCACCTGCCCATGCAAGTCCCCAAGGTCTCTCTCAGCCCCATACATGGGAGCCTTCCTAGGGGACCGTCAGCAGGCAGGTGCTAAGCTCTGTGAAGGCAAAACCCAAACATTCCCTGCCCTCAGGGGAGTAAGGCAACGTGGGGGAGGCGCACACAACCTCCTGGGACATGTGCTGGAGCCGAGCCTTGAAGGAAACCAGGGATTCGAGGAGAAAGAGGTGAAGAGGGAGTACATTCTAGGCATGGGGGCCAGCCCAGGCAAAGGCATGGAGGTGGGAGATGAGGGTTATGTGTGAGGAACCACAAGAAGGCCACTTTGATGAAACCATAGAGTTCCAAAGGGGGTAGAATCTATACGAGGCTGGAAAGACAGGGTTGGAGGCTTTTTTCAACCTGAAAGTGCTATGCATGGATCTCAACCATTGCTGCAGTTACAGAAAGCACTTTGGTCAGGTGTCTGTGAAGCTCTTTACCTGGAAACTCATTTGAACTTTAGGTCCAGCCAGGAGGGGCCTAGAGGCCATCCCAGAAATAAGACCTCTTTGTGGTAAGGAGACCGAGGCCTAGGGGCAATGATGTGGCCAGTTAGGCTGTGAGCGCTGAATGGTAGAGAGCTCACCAAGAGAGAGCTGAATGGTAGACCTGAGGTTCAGACTTGGGCCAAGACCGGCTCCCTTGTGAGCGTTGGCCCTGGGCATCTGCAGAGATGGCCCAGCCCTGGCCGCGAGGAGAGCTGGCACGACCATCCACTGACCCCCCTGCTAGCCTTTGATCCAGACACTGACCTCTGGGAAAGATCCCCGCCAGGCTCTTGGTGCACCTGGTGACCAGCAGCATTCTAGTGAGTGAGAGCCTCGCCCTCAGAAGGCGTTTCCTGAGCGAGGGCCCCCATTTCTGACTTTTGGTCCCATCCAGTGACCTGCCAACCAGGGTCTTCTCTGGTTGGTAAGTCCTGTTGGCCTTATCTTGCCCAGGGTCCACTAAGGTCACGAGATAATGGGCTTGTCAACATTCATCCTTATTGCAATTCAGAGGCTGGAGAGAAGGAGGGCTTAGAAGAGCAGCTGGCCTGGCCTCCCGTGGTTGTTGTGAAGGCTGCAGGGTGTGGGGGAGGGAGAGGGGTGGGGGGAGGAGGAGGAGGAGGAGTTGGCCAAGAGCCAGTCTTTGGAGCATGCTCAGAGACATGCCTGCCTAGGTCCAAGGGACCTCATTACATCCTTGTTTCAGCTGGAAATATTTGTTAATTTATACTGGCATCATCTGATCCCTCCTTACCATCTAAAATGTGGGGGCAGGATTTGGTCCCTTGTTTTGTGTGTCCGTTTAGTTTACTTTGTGTGTCTGATTCTTTTTATTGATGGATTTTTTTTTTTAACAAATTTCAGTAAGAGTTCTATTTATCAGGATTCAGTGAGCCCTGTCCCCAGGGCACGGGGACTGAAGTCACAGGTGGGCTCCTCAGTTAGCAGAGATGAGAGCCTAGGGAGTTGCTGGGAGCTCCAACTACCACCTGGTGAGCTGGCCTTGCTCCACCCAAGGGGATAATGTCAGCCGAGCACAGAGCAGAGACAGTGTCAGGACCCATCTCCCCAGAATGCTGCCCGGCCACACAAGCTGTCCCAGCGTCCATCACGCCCCTCACCCGCCCTGTTCTCTTGCCTCAGTGACACTGAGCCTCCCTGAGGAGGCCCAGGAAGCCTTCTGACCTCATCAGCTCCTCTTTTCTTCCCATTAGTACATAAGTTCCATGGGGGGAAGGGCCCTTGTCTTTGCATCCCCAGACTGGGAACAGAGCAGGTGCACAGGAGCATTTGGAGATACCCCAGGTGCGAGGATGTGCCCTTCTTTGGGGCCTGAGCTCTTCTCTGCAGCCTGTGCGTTCACATCATCTGGGCCACCTCCTCAGTGACCTCATGCCCCGTGGCATTGCCAGCTCAGATTTAATTCCATAAACGGACGTCATTCATTTTAGCACACTGGTTTCTGGTGACATCTGTCACCAAGCAGCATTTTTTGCATCATTTGATCGCATGAGCCTCATGGTGTCAGAAAGCTAAGATGGCGCTGTTTGTCTTGACTTATCTGTTTTCCAGTATAGTTGGGAATTGCTGGGCTCTTGGTTAATGCATGAGCCCTTGTGGCATTCTGCCCAGGCATTGTACCGGGCACCCAGGGCATGGCAGAGGTAGCCTGGGCCCCAGTGCTTGCTACATAGGCAGGGCGGCACCAGCTCCATCCAAGCAGCTACTAGGGGCTGAGAATGAGGAGGTGCCCTCAGGGAGTTTGCTTTTACCACATCTGCCAGGTCATGAATGTGAGGTCTGGGGTGGAGAACAGGACAGCTTGATCAGGCAGTGATGAAGCACTAGGGTGGGGGGTGGGGGGGCACAATAGGGCTGGATGAGGACCCAGCAACAGAACCTGAGTAGGAGAAGAAGGAAAAGAGCGTCGGGGAAAACCCCCAGGCTGCAGACAGAGAAGTCCAGAAGGATCAGGACAAAGGCATTGAGACTCTTGGTGCCTAGAAACAGGCTTGTAGGTATGTGGAGCACTGGGCATTCCCAGGAAAGACGAAGGGCGCCGGACACCTGATGAGTGACCCAGAGTGAAATCCCTGAACCTGGCCCCAGCCGCCACATCCGTTGTCTCCTGCCTGGCCAGTGACTGCCATGACCAACCAACCAGCAGTCCCCCCCCCCCCACCCCGGCTGCCTTGAAGGATGCAAGGTGCCGTCTTGGAGTTTGCCATCACCAGGATCAAAGCAAGAAAACCTTCATCAGATTTCTCCTAGAAAAACTGTATTTACAAAGGACTCGGGAGCATGGCCCAGGACTTAGGTGGCAGAGTCTGCCTGCCCTGGCCTGGCAACAGCTGCTTGCCCCTTGACAAGCTTTCAGGGCTTAGAAACGGGAGGGCTCCCAGGGCCCACCCACCCTGAGCTGTCACCCACGTTCAGGCAGGGACCCAGACATTTGTATACAGTGTGGGAGCCTCACACTCCCAGGTAGCCTTGAAGAGCCCTTCCGATGTGGGGGAAGTCGTGACTACGCAGTGGTGAGGGCAGGCCTACGGGTACACACTGCCCTGGCCGTCTCTCCTTCCTCCGGGCATCAGGCCAAGGACTGACAGAGCACCGGAGCATCACCTGAGGGGCTCTGAGCACGGACGAATGAGATAAACCGAGGCAGCGGGGCTCCCACACTGGCTCCTCCCAGGGCCAGGGAGAATGACACAGGTTTTCCTTCTTCCCCCCAGGACACTACAACCTTAGCAATGTCTTACCGAATGCCCCAGACATAACGCAGTTCAAACAAGGAGTGAGATCGGTGGCAGGAAAACTCTCTGTGCTGGCCAACGGAGTCATGACGTCCATTCAGGTCAGTAGGATGATCCAGGGCACCCCCACCCGGGCAGTGCCCAAGGTGGGCAGTGGGGAGGGTTCATTCTGGGCCCTTTGTGGATGGTGAGCCTGGGCAGCTGGGAGCTGCTTGTGACCAGAAATCACAGCTGTGGCCGGTCCCAGGGTCCCTCAAAGGCCCGAGTTAGGAAGCACGGTGGGAGGAAGAAGATGGCCGAACTTGTCTGACAGATGCAGGTGGCTCCCCACCCTCATCCACCCCTCCTCCAGGGCAGGCCGAGGACCTGGGTTCAAATTAAGAACTCAGTCTCTCCCTCTGTGCAGTGGAGGAGTTGGCCTTTGCACCCATCTGATTCCTCTCCAGCTCCATGTCTGTTGTGGAGAAGCCTTGAAGCAAGAGGCCAGGCTCCTTCGGGATGTCACTGTGACCTCTCAGGGCCAGTGACTGGAGCTAGGTCATGGGCCCTCCTTGGATGTTCTGGGGAGGCCCCTGGGCACCTTCCCAGAATACACTTAATAGTGGAGGGAAATGCCCGGTCTTGGGCAGGGTGAGCGAAACTACCGGTTTCCTTGTTCCTATCCAAGTTGACAGACCCCTGAAAAGGTGTCCACAGACTCCTTGTGGGCCCACAGACCCCGCGCTGAGGATCTGTCATAGACATCCAGGGTGTCCGTGTCAGAGGCGGTGTGAAGCCGCGAGCAGGGAGCCGAGGCTCAGGATGGCACTGGCCATGGCCACGTCCCTTCAGCTCCTGAGGCCCCTCCATCTGCAAAATGGGGGTGAAGATCGCTGTTACCTCCACCTCCTAGTGTTGTTGGGAGGAGCAGGGCAGCAGGGACAGCCGCCAGGCTCATGCCCGTGTCGAGCCCGGGTGAGGAATGCCAGGCTGGGCAGCGGTGGCAGGCCCCTCTGGACATGCCTGGGAAGGAGGCCTGCTGGTTACTGCCCCATTGCTTTTCAGGATCGCTACGGCTCCTGATCGCAGCCTGCGATGGCACGTGGCGCGTGGCTGTTCAGCCTTCGGTGTTCCTCGCTCATCTGTCACGCACATGCCAGCAAGTGGCCATCACACCGCGAGTCCAGCCACCTTTCTGTTGAGCTGGGAGCTTTCGGATGGTTCACTTCCTTTTAGAGAAATTTTTTTTTTTTTTTTTGCTGTAGTAGAAGCTTTTTAGTAATTTCTGTTAATTTATGGTACATGTTGATTCCCTGCCCTGGCCCACGCCCCCAGGGGGCCTGCACAGGCCGCCTGGCCTTCGTTTCTGTGTCTGGCCACACTTACCATCAGAGCCAGTGGCTTGAGAGAGTGGCCGAAGGGAGGGCCCCACATCCCTTTGCCCCCCATCCCCAAATCTCCCTTCTCTGCGGAGTCAGCGTTCAGTCCTGGGGCTTTCAGAGCTGCTGCCCTGATGCTCCCAGTGTCAGGAGACGGAAAATGCCCCATGCAAACACTTCCTTCAAAGGGACCATTGTCAACCAAAGCTGAAGATCCTCAAACAATTCTAAGTACATTCCTAAATTCCTGTGTCTCTGTTCATTAAAGTGATGGGAAGATTGTATTAAAAACATTATTTCCCTTTTAAAATTGTTAACTTTGTATGAAATATAAGATTTTTTCAATTTTCCAATGAGTGCATTAAATAAATCTAAGCTTTCATGTAGCTTCAGGAATGAATTAATCTTGCTGCTTGCAGGGTGGGGCCTCTGGGTTCTGGAGAGACGCAGGCTGAGAACTCGGGGTTTGCTTTGGTGAGGTGATGGAGTACACGGAAGGGAAAGGGAGAAAATTGGGTACACACACATACACACACAAACACATGCACGCATGCATCCATACATGTAAACATGCAGACATACACAGCTTTACACGTAATCTCCACCAGCACCTGGCAAAAATACTAGTTGTGACAATGAAGGGTTTTGTTGATTTTTTTAACCTGAATCTTAGATTTCAGCAAATCACAGAATGCCTCCAAATGAAGAAGAACCAATGGGCTGGATGTGTTTTAGACAGGAGAAAACACAGTCCAGGAATCTGGCAGACCAGAAAACTGGTACCAACTGAATATCTAATGAATATTTCCTAAAACGATAAAATCTCAAATTTGTAAACTTGTCAAGCAAATAAATAGTTGCTCTCGATTGCGTGGCCTGTGTTTTGGACGTGGAGCGTTTGCAGAGAGCCTCGGAAGCGCGTGCTGGGGGCACGGAGCCGGGTGCCTGTAGAGAGAGGGAGGACTCAGCTGCTGAGGGGTCCCGGCTCTGGGGCGTGACTCAGCTGGGTGACGATGGACAAGCGGCCTCCATGTCTTCATCTGTAAAGTGGGAATGACTTTCCTGAGCAAGGGGGTTGTAAGGAAAGTGTCCCTGCGAGACGAGCAGTTATGTTGATGACCTTGCTGCCAACTAGTGTGACCTAGGGCATGTTTAAAACTCCCCAGTCTAACCCAACAAGCATTTACTAAATGCCTGCTTGGTGGCAGGGACTGCAGAGCAAAAACAAGGTCGTTCCTGCCCTCAAGGAGCTTCCATTCTGCAGTACGGCTTGAACATGGCTCCTAGGATCCTGGGTCTGAGCTGAAAGGCACCTCATAGGTCCCTGAGCCTGACCCCCTCATTTGGTGGAGGAAGGAGCTGATGCCCAGAGCAGCTAGTGAGCATCAGGGGAGGCCCTCCTAATGCCAAATCTGGTTTTCTGTCTACTCAACCTTGCTCCCTCTGAAGGATTATTACAGATGAATACAGGCAGGACAAGAGGGGAGCCTCCCAGATCATCTCATCTAAGGCTCTCTGGAGTCTTTGCTTCAGCTCGCACCCGGAGCCTCAGCGTTCTCGGGCCCCTCTTTGCCAAAGCTACAAAAATGCATTCTATTCTCAGTCATGCCCAGACATTTCTGTTTTCCTATTGAGGTGAATTGAAAAGAAGCCACCGGCCAGGGCAGGGCCACTGGCTGTCCTTGGAGCACGTCTGGTGTCTCAGCCCCCAGGACCCCCTCCAGCTTCGGTCCCCAACAGCGTCAGAAGCGGCCGGAGAGGCCGCTGGCCACCAAACTGGTGCCCACCCCGTCTGTGGGTGAACCACGTCTGTGGCTGAACCTAGCTTGGCCAGGAATGAGCGCTGCAGGAACCCTGGCCTTCCTATCGCCACCTCCTCGCCTGAAAAGGAGCCTAGCATGGTGAAGCGTGGTGCAGTGGGAGCCCTGGGATGTCTTTTTGCCCTTCAGGCCTCAGCTTCCCCCTTTGTTCAGAAGGGAGGTTGGAGTAAACGATCTCATATTCCCTTACAGCTTAGATCCAGTCCACATTTGAGGAGCTCTCTTCTGATGGCATCCCTTACTGACCTTGGATGAGAATTGGCTGTGACTCTTTGAAATCTGCAGGGATGCCCCCTCATCCTCCTTGCCCAGATGGGATGTCCCAGATGGGACATTGAGAACTTGACACTTTATCCGTGGCCAGGGAGAGGGAAGGCTTAGCTAGAACCCCAAGTTCTCAGAGTTACTGGAGATCTCCAAGCTAAGGCGTGTGCTTGGAAGTCGGACCCTCTGGGGACCTGTGGTGGATGACTGGAAGCTCTGAGATTGTGGTGCTGTTGATGGAATCCTGATAAAGCTGCCCCCAGCCCCCATATTCGGAGTTCCTTATGGGCCCCACTGAGCAGCAGGCCTGGCCCGATATAGCCGCAGAGTCTGGCTTTATACACACCGCAGGCCCCCGGACTCGATCGTAGGCCTCACTGGAAGCAGGCATGTCCATGTGCTGGGGTCCCAGCCACTGCCCCCAGACCCATGCCTCATATTCCCCACAGAAATAGCAGGTGTGTCCACAACCCCATCCCTCTAGTCTCAGAGAGGACCGCAGTACTCAGCCAACCAGAAAGCAGCACCACCAGGATGCCCGAGAAGAATGTGGATCCCAAAACAATAGAAGGGACTTTCCCTAAGTAGGCACTTGTGCAGTAATAGCAAAAGCTGTCCTATAAGTGAACTTATGATACAGAGAGTCTCATTATAATATCATTATCATATGTAAATCTCCCCCCTTTGGGTTTTCTGTATGCGTTGTGGGTAATTGAATACAGTTTCACCAGGCTGGGACCCCTCCCCCATTACTTAATCCCTTGACAAACCCCTCCTGCCTTTTTAATATTCATAATTTCTGTTGTGTAATCAGCCTCATTACACCACAAAATTGCCTGTCTTGTCTTACAAAGTTGCCAGTTCTTCTTGGATCTCAGTCGACTGGAGAGCATAATCCTCAATAAATGCCTTTGCTTCGATTGGTGGTGGTCTGAGTCTGAATTCTTTGAGACAACCCCCACAACACACCATGAAACCACAGCCCTGTGACATCAGGCCTTTTGTGGGTCTTGTCCAGGACCCCCTTAGGCATCATTCTGGTGAAACCTGTGGAACTCTTCTTAGAATCACGTTTTGAAACTCAAAGATAAAGTACATGAGATTACAAAGGAAACCGATTGTATTGAAATGCAGTTTTCAAAAAGAAAAAAATTTTGTTTTGGAAAACAAGTTCTCAGACCCCAGGTTTAGAACCCTTCCCCAACCAGTCCAAGAATTTCTTCTACAAAATTCCCAAAGATTTATCTGAACTGATGCAGAGGAAGTGAGCAGAACCAGGAGAACCATGCATACAATAATAATCACATAGAAAAGACAGCCAACTGTGAAAAACTTGGGAATTCTGAACAATGTAATGACTGACCACAATTCCACAGGGCCAGTGACAAAGCCTGCTGCCCACCTCTGGATGAGGAAGTGATGAACTCCAGGTGCAGAAGACCACCTACATTTTCAGACATAGGCAATATGGGGATTTGTTTTGCTCGACTATGCGTATTTGTTACAGGGGTTTTGTTTTTCTTTTCTTTCATGGGAAGGGAAGGGGAAGACATGACATGAGAGGGAAAGAAAATAGGTTTGGGTTTTTTTTTAATTGAAAAAGAAAATCAGATAAGGACCTCATTTCTAAAGTATATAATTAAGTCAAATTTATAAGAATACAAGTCATTCCCTAATTGATAAATGGTCAGAGGATATGAACAGGCAGTTTTCAGATGAAGAAATTAAAGCTATCTATAGTCATATGAAAAAATGCTCTAAATCACTGTTGATTAGAGAAATGCAAATCAAAACAACTCTGAGGCACCACAGCACACCTATCAGATTGGCCAACATGACAAAACAGGAAAATGATAAATGCTGGAGAAGATGTGGGAAAATTGGAACACTAATGCATTGTTGGTGGAGTTGTGAACTGATCCAACCGTTTTGGAGAGCAATTTGAAACTATGCCCAAAGCGCTATAAAAACGTGCATATCCTTTGACCCAGCAATAGTACTTCTAGAGCTGTATCCCAAAAAGATCATACAAATGGGAAAAGAACCCACATGTACAAAAAATATTTATAGCAGCTCTTTTTGTGGTGGCCAAGAATTGGAAATTGAGGGGATGCCCATCAGGTGGGGAATGGCTGAACAAGTTGCAGTATATGAATGTAATGGAGTACTATTATACTATAAGAAATGATGAGCAGGCAGACTTCAGAAAAACCTGGAAAGACTTGCATAGACTGATGCTGAGTGAAGTGAGCAGAACCAGGAGAATGTTGTACACAGTAAAAGGCACATTGTGTGATGACAAACGTTGATAGACTTAGCCCTTCTCAGCAACGCGAGAATCTAAGACGTCTCCAAAAGTCTTCTGATGGAAAATGCTATCCACATCCAGAGAAAGAACTATGGAGTTTGAATGCAGATGGAAGAAGACTATTTCCTATTTTTTTCCTTCTGTTTAGTTTTGTTTCCTCTTTCTGGTGGTTCCTCCTATTGGTTCTAATTCTTCCTTACAACGTGACTAATGTGATAATATGTTTAATAGGAATGGATATGTAGAGCCTATATCAGATTGTGTGCTGTTTTGGGGAGGGTGGTGGGGAGGAAGGGGGAGAAAAATTTTAAACTCAAAATGATATGGAAGTGATGGTTGATAAATCAAAATAAATTAATAAAAAAAAAGAAGGGAAAAAGAAAATCAGAGTTTAAAAAAAATTCTCAGCAGTTGATCAGCCTTCTCTTGAAAACCTCCAATGGCAGGAAATTCACTACCTTTTAAGACAGCCCATTCCAATTTGGCATGGCTCCCTTTGCAAGGACTTTTGCTTTTTGAAAAATAAATGTTTTACTGATACATTTTTATGACATCACCACCATGTCCTAGTAACCTTAGCCATAGTTATCACTATTATTATTAAAGCATACATAAGCAAAACAAACCGCCACGTAGGCCACGTTTGACAATGTCCACACCAGTATTCAACCCCCTCTTTACCAAGAAGGCATGATTAGTGACCACATTGATCAGAGTTCTGTTGCCTTTCAATGTTTTTCTTGGTAACAGATCCCAATTTGTTTCTCTGCCCTCCGGGGCCACGCAGAAAAAGCCAAATCTTTCTTCACAAGCTAGCTAAAAAAGAGGAGTAGCTGACATTTCTATTGCTTTTTGGAGTTTGCAAAATGCTTTATGAATATTGTTTAATCCTCATAGGCATCCTGAAAGGAAGGTGCTATTATTAACCCCCCATTTTACAGATGAGGAAACTGAGGGATGGGTAGGTTAATTGATTTGCCCAGAGTCATGCAGCTAAGAGGTACCTGAAGCAGGATTTAAACCCAGATCCTTCTGACTCTTTAGCCCAACACACTGTGGTATGTCCTTCTAAGCCGTCTCTAAGCGAAGCTAAGTCTCCCCAGTTTCCTTATCTGTTTCTCATTGTGGCCTTATCTCAGTGCCCCTCACCGCCATCTCCAGTTTGCCAGTGACCTTGCTAACCAGAATGAGACTAGTAACTCCTGCTCCTACACAACATTCCTCCCTCAAGGTGCCTACAGTTCCATTAGCCTTTTTGGTCACCGTTTCAATGTTTAATATGGTACCTAGTCCTGAAATAGCAGACCCCTGAGACCTCCAGATCTTTTTTCAGAACTGCTGACTAGCGAAGCTTCCCTCATCTTACATTTTCAAAGGGGATGTTTTTGAACCCAAATGTAAGACATACCGTTAATCCCTATTAAATTTCATCTTAAATGTGGGATATATACAAAAATGCTCATTATGCTTTTTGT